CAGGAAGCAAAATTACAATTCAGCAGAACTTCTTTAAAGCTGTTATCACCATCTGCAAACCAACAACTAATGGCCCCTTTGAAGTGACAGGAGATGCTCACAAAGAAACAACAAATGCTTGAAATTCTGGATGACCGGATTTGCTAAGTCGATAGGTCTGAACTGACTGTTCTTTCCCCTGATATAAATTGACCTCGATGTTGCAAAGCAAAGTCAGCTTTTGAATTGCATTGCACATGCAAAAACAAATAAAAATGCTCCTAGGGTTTATAACATTCTGTCTTAGGGCCAGACCATTCAAGTGATTCTCTAATTTGGACACGCCAAAGAAAACCTGCTGTTTAATTCACAATTGTTCTCACTGCTGTCAGGAAGTGCTGGGGTAAGCCTCGTGTCAGATAAACATCCATGTGTGTCTGCTTCAGAAAGACAGGCCACAGCACAGGTGTAGTAACTAGGGAGAGCCTGAGAAGAGAAGGTGTTTGTAGGACACCCGGAGGTAACTGCTGCTTTCCAAAATACAATTAATAAGGTCAGATCAGCCGCTGGCTTCAGAATCTCGACTCCTTTTCCTGCTCAGCTTTGCAATTTTATTTATAGCAGAACTATTTCCTGACAATGAATATCTGAAATACCATTCATTTATGAGGCAGAAAAAAATCAGGCAGAGGTTTACAGTATTGTAGCCCATAATGCTGAACAATTTAATTCAGCAATTTAAATGGATGTCTGCAGATATGAACAATATTTTCAATATAATAAACAGGATAAGCAGAAAACTCTCGATTAAGTCACTGCCTGTCATACATATAGCTCAGTGTCCAAGAACACAAGACAGGTTTTGCCCTTTCTCTATGCAATTGCACCAATGTCAACCTAAGACCAGAATTCAGCCCTGTATCCTACATCAGTTGCTAAACACAGGCTTTGTACTGTGTGGTGCCCAGTACTCCTCTGCTTTTAGTCTATTAACACATTTCCAGGTTTCCAGAGGCTGCTGATCCCATTGAGCTTTGGCACAAACTGCTTTCCTGACCTAGTGTAGTACTGTTCAGGGACATTACAGAACTGAGTCCCTCGTGTCTCAGCCAGACACAGGTCTACAGTTTCTTTGATAAAAGTCGCAAGACTTGACCTACCTGGAAGATCATTTTTGCTCTACTTTGATAGAGGTAGAGTCTCCTGAATGGAGGAGAGTCTGCCTGGAAAGCAGGTAAGCTTTAAAGACTCTGAGTCAGCTTTGAACTCCAGAAGTGTCATGGGGTACTGTCAAAAAAGAGGGAATGTCCAGATATTCTTTTTTTTGGATAGATAGCCAGCTCAGTACCTTCCCTGCCTCAGACACACCTTCACAAGTTGTTACACTTTAGCAGGTCAACATAAAAGATCTCTGGGGCTAGAACATGGCTAACCGAAGTTGCCAGGCATGAACTGCCTATGGAAACCATTGGGACTGGTACATGTGCTGAAGACAATGCACAGTTAACCCAGAAAAAAGCCTCACTGGGTTTGATCCAAGACAATTAAGCAACACTGTATACAGCTCCATCTGTTGGAAACTAACAGGGAACCTGTTATTTTGTTACTGTAATAAATTCCATCTCTCATCAAGACAGTGAAGAAAAACTACACCAGTACTGCCACAGCCCTGCATTCTAATAGCTTTCTTACATGCAAGATGGCATTCAACAATATTCATGTAAATATACACAGTGAAGCAATTATATACTGATGAGAGATGTGCTCCACTGTCGAAGAGAACTTTAAGTACTTCTGAGAACCGAAGTGTCTGGCATCCAGCCCCACAATGCTTTCCTGCATACACATGGCAAGACACAGACATGCATCAACCATACATCAAGCACAGAGTGTAAAAATACAGTGTTGTTACTTGGTTTTGGTTTGGTTTGTTTTTAATTAAAAAAAAAAAAAAAAAAAGGTATCTGTTTAAGTGTTTGTGGAGTGTATGAAAGCTCTTTCTAAAATTCCCACGCTGGAGTGTCATCCTGATGGCAACAAGCACACAGCAATACAGTAGGTAAAGGGAACAGAGCCGTGACAGAGCACAGGGTAGAAAACTGCAAGGATGTTTCCTGAAAGCTATGCTCACTGATAACACAGCAGTTAAGCCAGTCAGGGAGAAAGAGAGAGTGAGAATGGGTATCTGTGAGTAAAAGGAAGATGTTTTAGGGGCTGGTGTGCACCATATTTTTCCTGTTGCACTAAATGAAATATAAACTAGAATGGCATGAAGATACCCAATCCAAAAAGTTGCCTGCCAGTGCTCTTCTACCATCCCTTTTGTACCACACACGCCAGGCAAGCTAGCTATGAATCTAGTTACTTGATCTTGATACTTGTATTAGCCTACAGGTGAAAACTGCCTGAAGCTTCCAGCAGATGAAAAATCTAAGGCATCTATTTCCCACCTTCGGGATAAAAACACTTCTATCCATTTTATGTTGAATATTAATCACATCTTGCCTCGAATTCCTAAGTGACCAAATTTGTGAAATGTGTGCACTTCTCACAAGTCCTCATTGTCACTTTCAAAGGGGAAACCTCTGCGTTAATACCATGAGGTACTGATGAGCCTCAGGGAGCTTTCCTGAGGCTTAACAATTTGTCCAGAGTGCACAAATATCCCTGCAACACACTTAGTATGAACAGGACATCAGTTGTCCTGTCCACATTTAATGAGATGCAACAAAAACTGTCAGATGCTGACAGTTGTCTGATGCTGATCTGCTCAAGATACAGGTTTGTCCTTTCTAGGAAGCCTCTAAGGAAAAGGATGACAAGGTCAAATGCAGCAGAGCCAAGATTCTACCCCAACATTTGATGCCCTATGACTGTGGATTTCAGTGGAAATGTCTGCTGTTCATAAAACCACTACATTTGCAAAATGAGGACTTGAAGGTGGATGGGAGGGGGACTTCAAACTGAAAAGGGATTTTTTGCAAGAGATTGTCAAACAAAAGCAGGTCATTAAATTCACATAGGGCAAACCTTTGCTAGTGGGCAGAGGGGGAATCTGAACACCATATCTAGGCCAACAAGCAAAACCATGGAGTATTCTTTAGTTCACGTGGAGTGTTCTTAGTCCACAAAAGATTTTGTAGAGTTGCCAATAGATTAGAAGTCATATTAGTCTGTTTTTCATCTGAAATCTGATTGTACTGGGATTCACTCACTGAGATAACTCACTAGCATTTTTACTGTACCCAAAAAAGGGAGGCACAGTTTTGTTGTCATTTTTAATAAAACTGAATGTTCCTTCTCCTGATAAACTTGTTAAACTAAATACATGTATTTGGACAAATATCCCTAAATCCAAGGAAAGCCAAAACTGGACTTTTTTTTTTTTTTTTTCAATTTGCAGCTGAAGAAACAAATACAACTAATGATTCAATGCCCTACTGTAGCATTTCAGCAAACACTTTCCTCTGCCTTAGCTTGAAACTTAAAATCCTAAACCAAATCAAACCTATACACCAAGATGATCTGTTTGGAGCAACTAATCTACATTAAAATGCATCAAAATTACCTGCTTTTTGGATTTGTTTTTCTATCCATTAAAATACCAAATTCAGAAAAGCAACAGCACACCTACAGTTGACTGAGAGGGTAACATTTTTCTTAGCTGTAAAAAAAATTAATACTTAAAAATACACTGCAAATGATCATCACATACTCTGAAGTTCAGTGCAGGCAATATCTGTCAGGTAGACAGAATCATGATAACAGGGTAGATACACATGATTACACATTTTCTGAGGAAAAAGGCCAGTTCTGGACTGGCATCCAAAATAATATTGTACATTCTGTTAGCGAAGAACTAATCCTCTTTTTTAAAATCTAATCTGCAGATGGCTGCAAGTGTACCTGCAGTTGTTCATAAAATAAATTACTGTGCTTATGCTTTATTGGAAATGGATGTGCTCTGAGTCACACAGGATAGATTCCACTGAAAGACAACAGAGGTATTTTTTCAAGTGGTGAAATGTATTCTGAAACTTATATATATAAAAAAAAAAGATAAAGTATCCAGATTTTCTTGCAGATTACATTAAATATACTGGTTCTAAGCAAGCAGGCTAATTCGCACATGGGTATTTCTTAATAACTAATTCTGTAAGGGAGAAGTTGACCTAAAGCTGGTGGCAGCAGGGAAGCATGGTTTCTGGCAGGTGGGAGTCAGCAGAAAGAGCTACTCTGCTAAGTCACTGTGAGGTAAGAAAGAGGTGAATTCACTTCTACCGAACATACAAACACTTGGTAAGCACAGTTGAGTCACCTCACAGCTGCTGTAAGCCAGAACCACCTAAACAGAATGGAGCATGGAGTAGGCAGCATGCTGGAAGCTCTTGTTGTTTACTCTACAGGACATAGCCTATGTAGACCACTTGCTGTAACACTGATTTGAGCCTCCTTCTTCCCTCCTTCTGCTAGGTACTGTACCCAGTGCCAGCTCAAGCTGCTTCTTTTAGGAGGAAAGGTGGTAAGGAGAGACAGGTCTGGCTATGACCTGGTAAACAAGATCAAGTTAATAAAACCTGGAGCTATCTGAGTTGACCAGTGAAAAACATGGGCCGAAAGGAGGATTGAGAAAGGCAGGAGCCAGCCTCTACGAAGATGAAAAAGTTTTAGGACTCTGCTGACAGTGCCACAGTGAAAAATCCTGTAAATCCTCTATTTTAATATAATTTTTAAAAATAAAGTAAGCAAGAAAACAGTGGTTGAGGTTTTCTCAGAAGTATCCAGCTCCTGTCACGAGACAGGATTCTTTCCCCTTACCTGAGAGAACCCCGCTGCTTCTTCTCAGAGCTTCTTACTTCTTCATTAGCTTTGCTTTCAGCCCTATGCCTGGCATTCTGCAAATCTGCCAACAAGAGAAAGTACATTATTCTCACATCACTGTCCTTGCTGATCAGCATAACTAACATGCTACATTGCAAATACATTTTTTCTTGTTGGTAGATCAAGATGTAACATACCATTTTGTGTAACCTTCTCAAAAGTGCTTTTCTCCACAAGACAAATTTTAGGCAGACATAACCTTGACTGCAGGACATTAGGCAGGGTTAGACTGCAAGGCAGGCTAAATGAAGCCACGTTCACACCAATACACTTGTCGCTCAGGAGGGCTCAGTAGTTTTGAGCTTGATGTTGCACTAATGCATCATATTGCTTCCCAGCAGTGCAAATGGGCTCATGTCTGCACTTGACTGAGTGGATCTATGTATTAAAACTGAGGTAACAAGGCTCTTCTTTTGGACAAGGTGCCCACATTTTCTACTGAAGTATTACTTTAAATATTTTGAAGTGTTTAACTTAGTACTACTTTATCTACTGAAGTAATTAATGCTGATACAGCTATTATTAGAGTGAATATAGGTGAATAAGCCATCTGAGCATAAGCTATTTTACAATGGCAGACTCTGTCATTACAGAAAAATGTTCCATTTTTATGCATAGATTCATAAAGGTTACTTATGCTAAACTGTTTATTCTTATCCAGCAGCAGTGATAGCTATGCACTTGCAAAAAACGTTTTATACAACTACATCTGTTTCCACACAAACTGAGCACTGTAATACCAGTAGAGTTCAAGTGGTACCAGTTGAAAAGGCCTAAATCTGCCTTGCAGTACACAAAGACAATTACACAACATACGGGTTATTGCTGCTGCCAAGAGGAAACGAACAATCAGAAGAAAGAACCTTAATTTGCTTAAAAGACACTGAAAGGAGAGTAGACAATTTTGAACCTGAGATCTTAAAACAGGTCCATGGGGTTTAAAATACCCACATAATTATATGCCTTTACGTATATATTTATTTGTATTAACAAAATAATGAAGATGGATTTTTAAGGGATTCTTGAAGCTTTAAATATTTTTTCCAATAGCTGATTGCACATCCTTACCAGTATGATTTAACAAGATACTCTTTTTCTTCTGGCTGCCATCTGGTGCCACAGTAAGTTTCACTCGAAGGGTTTTGCTGGAACTAGGAGAATGGTTTACTGATGCATCAACTACCTCATAGATGGTATGAAGCAAGCTGGTAATATCCTACAGTTGGGTTGAAACAGAAAAAGACACACTAGTGTGAAAATGGAATGAAACCTACAGCTTTGATACTTGTAACTATTTTGGACTTGACTATTAAATGCTGAATAGCCTCAGAAGTCACTGAATTTGAAAAAGCTGAACTTGCACAGAACCTTCCAAGAAAGGATCCATTTCTCTCGTCTGTTAACCTCCATTTTTTCTAATACAGACTGTCATATAGCTCACAGACACAGAAGAGAATAATCCATATTCTTCTTCATCAGATGGTGTTAGATTTATCAACCAAAATCATAAATAATAATAATATAGATCAAAACAATAATAAAAGGACAAGGCATTCAGGTTTCCCAAACTGTGAATCAACAAAGTTGTGTTCTGCCTTTTCTTTTCTTTGCTTTCAACAGAACCCAGGGATAACTGTTCATACATCACTAAAAATTGAGTTCACATGACCAAAACAAATACAGCAATTGAAGAAAATCTTGGAAACTATAGTCTTGCTACTTCTTAGGTTATTTTTCCTTAGGACAGTTAAATGGTTGGTTATATAGAAGAAAACTAGTAAGAGAAGTGGCAGAACTGTAAATCTCAGGTTTGTAAATAAATGACGTCTGAGGTCTATTACAGAATATTGTTCACACTTCTCTTTGAAGGGAATGGGACATGAACAAATGCTTACATGTCTGGCTATATCAGAAAAAAACACTAGCCAATTTTAATAAGCCAGCTGTTTCAAACAGGAGAAACACTGTTTAGTAGTTGGTGATGCTCAAAGGTCTCTCAGGTTGATCTAATCGAGCCAGGCTCAAATAGGTACTACCTGAAATTGCCAGGATGAAAAGGAGATCTCTCAGCTCTCTGCTTTTCCCCAAAAAGATTTCACCAAAATTGATCTTGAGCACCAACCTAACACCAAAGCATACTGATCATTGCAGGCTATAAAGAACCTATTCAATGTACATCTGAGAATTTATCCATGCTGCTCTTCCTATTCCTTGATCTATCCTAGTACCTAAGCTCTTTGCAGATGCCTATGAGCGCGAAGGAAACATCTAAATCGTCCTTTTTTAAGTATAAGTGGTTCTGGGGATTAAGAGTCAGGTCTCTAAAAATTCAAACCTCTACAATTTTTCCTTTGACCAGGGGTCATGCCCGTAGCAATGGCAGCTCCAAGTTTAGTATGCCCTAATGGGTCCCAGCACTTTAGCAGTCAATATACTGCACAGTCCTCATTATCTAACCACCTTTAAAGGTGACACAGAAATACTAACTTCTACCCACACAGAATTTAGGGAAATACTGACCTTATGGCCAGGACAAATTATTTTGCAGTAGGTAATTTTCCAGCTCAATAGGTAGAATGAGTAACTAAATCCTAGAGGGCCAAGACTTTGTCTTAACATGTACCCTCTCTAACTTTTCTGTGCCCAGTGGAATTTCTCCAGACTTGTGAGTTCAAGACAATATATTCAGAAAAAGAGAGCAGAATTTGCAGTCTCTTTTTTGTTTCCCCACTGACATATTTTTTCTACTATTGCTGCAAAAGTGTCTATATATGGGCTGCTACTAGGATGTCAGTAGCTGCTTTCCATCCTTTTGACAAGAACCACTGTCTAAAGCTTGAATGAGGGAAAGACTGCTCAGTGACAATCTGGTGGACACCTCACAGCTCTTTAACACATTTCACTTCTCACACTTCTACCCTAATTTGAAACCTAGCCAGACCTCTAAATACACACAGCCGTATCTGACAGCCAGCAAGAAAAGCTGGAATTTTATTTCATCTATGAGAAAAACCCAACATAACAAGAACATAAACAGACAAACAAAACATATCTGTTGTTTTAAACGCCCTCCTTAAATTATGTCCTAGGAGCTTTGTGCTATAATCTTACACCTCGATAAGCCAAACCTTCCCCTTCAGCAGAATACTTCACCACCACATTTATTCTTAACAGGGCTCCATACACTCAGCACTTTGGTGAATGGAGCCTTTCCCATACATTCCTTAACATGTGGTCGTTAGCAAACATGGCAACTTTCCACACAAGGCTACTATCAAGAGGTTATTATCAAGTCTTTCATTCACAATAATCTATCCTCCTTCCTTTTTTTCAGCTATGCCAGATGTTTGCACAAGCTGATCTATTTTAACTAAGTCTATTTTAACTTCAATAGGCAAAGACAAAAAGTCTTCACTCCCACTGTCCTTTTACATTATTTTCTTTTCTGGTGATGAGGTCTAAGTTGCTAACTGGTGTACAATCTGCCTCTTGTGTTCTGTAAGGGTCCTTCTCAACAAGCCGCTTGACTCAGCAGTTTAAAATGTACTCCCAAATGCTGTTAAGGATGGCCAGATGCAGCATTTGTGTGACACATACTTGGCAAGTCAGAAATATGTACACGCGCATATCACTTCAGGACAATTTACATCTCTCAGTCAAACAGCCCCGAACAAGCCCAAATTAATGTCCAGGCTCCAAGCAGTTTAGGAGGCTGCAGAGAGGTCCCAGGACACCTTGTGGCCTTACGCTCTGCTGCCTGTGCATTTCATTACATGTTTCATATCCAGCTTCCTCCACCACAATCTGAACTGCTTTGCATTCTGGCACTAAATGAACGTGGTCGTCAGACTGGATATGTACCAAGATCGAGGTTAGGGATATCCATAAGTAACCGCTTAATGCTTATGCTGATCTTCTAAATACTGACAACAACATCTTTATTATAGGATTCATTTCCTTGTGGTCCTAAATTTGGGGTTGGAAAGTCTAGCAAAGTGACAGTTCCGGTTTGGTCAAACAAGTCTGCTTGGGTCATTTACTACTCTGTCATCTACCAAGGTTCTGGCTGAGTAGGTCCCAGCTACAAGGCAGCCTGAACCTCCTGTTGCTTTTCAGTTATTGCTTCACAATTAGAACATAAAAATTCCTGAGGCACTGATCTGGTAGGAATGGTCTTTGTCTGCAAGTTGTGCATGGTGACTAAAACTACCATCTCACAAGCCCTTTTTTGGCAGCTAATATGGTAATGGCTTCTTGTCAAATTAGTAGCACTAGATCATTAAAACATATGTTACAAAATTTGTATTTTATAGTTATATATTTACCCCCCAAAGAATTTTCATCTTCTAGTAGCCTGTCAGGAGACTAAGGCAATTTATGTTCCCCTGAAAGCTGCCCCGATGAACATCACCTGCATTTCAGTTCCTTAAAGAACTGCCTAAAAGCACTGACACAGCTTTACCTTGTAGACACCAGCTTGTGCATTTCACTGTCCTCAAGAAATTTAGCATTAAAGATCAAAAATAAAAGCTAGTTAAATTTTCCTCTCTTCTGGTACACCAACCATCATGTCTCAGAGACCATCTACTACTTTAACTTTTCTGCACAATGGATTGTGATTTTTACTACTCACATTATTTTGCAACTGCTTTACTTAAGACTGCTCAGCACTTCCTGCATGACAAGTTTCAACCTGCATTTATCAAACATCCTCCTTTTTTACACTAAAAGTAAACAAGAACAGATTTTTCAGTGTTTCCCATTTTTCCAAAAATATCATTTGCTTGTTATTTTTACTGGTACTTTTAAACCATTTTAGTTAAAAATCATTGTGGATTTTAAAATTAGTATATGAAATGTGTAAAGAGAAGAATTTTAAAAAAAAAAAGATTCCTTTATAGCAAACAGATTATATTTAGTGGGGAAGTAGGCTGCATGAATCTAACTAAGTTCTGAAGGGCTTCTAGTGTGCAGAATTTCTGCTGGGATAGCTAGTTTTATCAAGTAAGAAAAATAAAATGATTATACTTTTCCTCAAAGAGGAAAACAAATGCTTGCTGAGTAGTATCCAAACAGCCAGCACATGCCCTATCCAGATTCATTTGTGGCTTGCTTATTGAACACTCCAGTTGTTTTTTCCAGGGCTGAAGGATTTAACAGTGTTAATCTGTATGTTTTTCACATCCAATTTTATCAAGCAGCTAATACAACAAAGTACATAAAACAAGAAACTTCAATAGATTGCCAGAAATACTTGCATTAGAAATACTAAAAAGCAAACAGTTAAGGCCACTTAACTGTTTGTTATATTGCACTCACACATGTACCCTCAGAATACTTTTCAGATCTCCAGCAGGAGTTTAGTCCTGTTTTTCCAGTATTAGCATAGCTTAGCATCATAGGGCTAGTTAGCAAACGAGACATTTTGTAAAGGAAACTAAAAGGCTTTTCCAGTGGAATTAATTTAACAAAAAGAGACCTACCCCTCAAAAAACAAACAACAACAACAAAACCAAAACCCACCATCCCAAAACACTCCACTGAGTTGAATAACACTGAGTGAAAACATTCAGTTTGATTCTTTGCAACTTCTCTGGGAGACGTGTATTTGGCTCCCCTCAAAACCAAAAGAGAAAGTCATATTTTCTCTTAATACTTCTCTCTGGCCCAAAACCACCCAATCCAATGGCTGAAATGATGGCCCCTCTGATACAGACAGGCACTACTCCTCTATCTGCTGGTTTCATTGCTCCTTTGCTCCTTCTATATCATGAGTTAATACAATGTTGACAAACACAGTGAAACCCATCAAATTTCAAGATAAGGGTCAGACTGATGAACAGTAGCCCCAGAAAAGTCAGTATCCTTCCCGAAGTCAAAGATTTGGTGCTGAGTTCAGAATGCACACATACCTCAAACCTTTTCACTCATTACAGAGAATATGAGCAAAAATAACTAAAAAGGGAAAGAAAGAAAAGGAAGGAAACATAAGAGGAAAAATGGGTATTTAATGTAAGATACAAAGAACATTTTTATTATTAAAAATGCATGAAGAGAAACATCAATATCAGTTCATTACATTTCCTTCAGAAAAATAAAAGTACAAATGTCTCATTTGTACTTTGTTTGTAGTCTGATTTTTACATACGGCAGGATGTTTTTATTGCAACATCAGCTTTGTTTGATCATATACATTTTTGGATCATTTTTATTTGGAACCTGAAAGGAGCTTCACTTGCTATCTACTCAACAGCTAGTCTAGAAGAAATTCCCTTTTTTTAGTCCTGACAAGCAACTTTCTTGTGTGCTTATTCCTGTGCAACCACTCATCAAAAATACTCAATTTCCCAAGAAAGAACTGATTGGGGGGAAAAAAAAAAAAGGCTCATATTTATGAAGTATAATTACATTCAGAGAGCTCAATATAAAACCTCATGGATCAAAACACATTAGTTCAATTATCCAAGTTTCAAGTCTGATTACAAATATCCACATGAAGATAATTGCAGTGCAGCTGTCAGTTTTAAAAAGGCCTGCAGTACATAATGATTTGTCCTCTTACGGCTTATGGAATGAAGGGAAACATTATTAGCCAAGTTTTGTAAAATACATATTAGAGCAGGAAAAGTTATCGCCCACTACACCAAAAGGACTGAAAAATGCTTGTCTTCTATGACAGAAAAAGCAGTAGTTTAATAACATACAGTAATTCTAATTTTATAATTTGCCATCCTAATAATTATGCTTTCATAATGGGTGTATCTCTTCAAGAAGCATGACTAGATCTGAATTTCTAGTTATAAGCACCATGGAATAAGTCATACAGATGCTAGGAGGAAATCAAAGCAATATTATGTTCTGAAGATGATGTTAAGATCCAGAAGAAATTTCACTAAGATGGAATTTGAATGCTCTTGTGGTGATCTGTCATTGTGTAAACCCCAAGGGAAATTTTATCTAGTAACTAAATCCATAGCTTATTTACAATTTTCAAACATTTTAATGAAAAAAACATTTAGTTCACTTGTAAAATTGCACCCCACCTACATGTGTCTTACAAATGTAATTTAACACTGTGTATTCCTTTGGAAACTCTTGGGACATGAAGTCCAATGTTTTTAAGACAATGACTCTGAATCAAATTAAATGGATGTGGGTGCACAAGTCACTTCCTTTTCCAGTGTCTCACTTTTCCGACATGAAAAAGAGGAATGAAAAGGCTGATTTCTGTTTGTAAAGCACCTCAAGGTCTACAGATAGAAATCAGACTTTAAACATTTAATATCTCTCCTAAATCCAGCTATAAATGCAGGAGACATTAAAGTGAAATTTTCAAAGAAAGAGAAAAGGTCCACACTAAGCTATTCCCACCAGAACACTGGACCTTTGTTTAGAAAAGCTGACTGGTTGTGAAAGCATTTTCATCAGCTCACTAAATGGCACTCATCAACCCTCTTCCTCACACTGTCTGTTTTGCCCCTGATCTAGCAATGTACTTCACACACTTTTAACTCAAAGCATGTGTGCCCTGTTCATTTTAACTGAAACTATTCACACATTTAACGTTTGCCGTTGTTAAGTCTTTTGCTGGATCAGGAGCAGAGCTCCTTAACAAACAACAGTATCAAGGCCACTATGTTGACTGCCAGTGTCTCAGAGGCCAATAGAACCAGAAATTCCATGTCACTTGAAAAGACTGAAATTTCTCTTTTGCGGCCAAGATTATCTATGAGTTGCTATCATTAGTCATTCTTGCACAAACAACTCTTAAATTGCATCTGGATTCAACAGAAGACACCCAACAAGATGAATTATACCAATGGCACTGGAACAGCTTGCAAAATAAGCGTGTAATGTAACTGGGAAACTCGGCAATGGCACACGCTATTTGTTTCTATCTTTGGTCACATGCAAAGAGCTGAAAATTATCAACCTATTTGGTTCCTTGGTTAAAACATTTTTTTTGGCATAGGTTCAAGCCTGAATATAGCAACCTCCAGACCTCAGAGTAGTATAATTTTCAATCCCTGCACAGATTTGGTTTCAGTTAAGCTGCAGTCTGCTCTTGTAGCAGGGAGAGGTAGAATTTGGCTGCAACATATTCTCTAAGTACAGTCAAATAAAGCTCTTTGGTGTACCACATAATCACAAATAATTATTGTATACATACTTAAAAGCATATTCTTGTTATGTTCAGCACATGGAACTCCCACTGACATTAATGGGAATTCCATGCCTGAATGTAAAGGACACCCATGTGTGTGGGTTTGGGTTTTGTGTGTTTTTCCGCTATTCTTTGAGAGTCACGATAATCCTGTAATGAAGACTTAGCCTTGGGTCTCAAAAGATCTGGGTTCAATCTGCCACGAGGTTCTGTCTTGTGAGACTTCAGACAAGCTATTTCATTTTTCTGGTCTCTGTTCCCCATACGTTAACAAACACAACACTACTTCTCCACCCCACCCCTCCTCCTCCTGGCCCTCTCTATATATCTCGTCTTCCCATTTGAAACTCTGGACTTGGCCTGTAATGTTTTATCTGCTTATTCTCTTGCACAAGGGGCACGGATTTCATTTGACTAGTCAAAGTACTGTCGGAGTAAAGACAACAAAAAAGGCCTAGTAATGATGTTCATATACATGTTAAAAACCCTGAACAACCACTACATTTGGCAATTTGTTCATAAATATCACAAGAGATTTCCTTCAGTCTTCTAGGAAAAATTTCTGCCCTCGTTTGGTGTCTAAGGCCACTACACTTTCAGTATTTGCCCTATTTCTTCCAATCAGTTCTTAGTAATTTTCACAGACACCAGCATAAGGGCCAAGAGAGACAAAAACTGACAATTTTCAACTAATTATCTGAAGGCATGGGAGCCAGTAAACACACCTCACTAAAAAAAAAAAAAAAAAATCAATGACAGGACATTGCAGTAAATTTCAGCAAAAGACATTCTTCTAGAAGAAGTATCATTCAATTTGGATAGAAATAATTCTGAAAAGGGACTGTATTCTAGTCTATACATCCTCTTATTTGGCTTCTTATTTGCACAGGAAATACAACTTGAAGACATCCTGATAATAAAAAACACACACAGGTATGCTTTGACAGCCATTCACTACAGTCCCCCAGTAAGTATCATCAATGTTATTTATACACAGAGGGAGAAGGCAGAGATCAGCCTAATATTCATGAAAACAACAGAACAGTATAGTTAGTCCAACTGGAAAGAATGTCAGATAGCAACCTTGCTATTTGGTTAGCTTAACTCTGAAAAGCAGGAGAGGTGCCAGAACAATATACATTTGCAGGGGTTTATTTTGACAATATGTTTAGCTGTTCAGTTGTTTTAGATATTTTTCCTCCTCAAATGCCAGTATTATTTTTAAAAGGCTAATTCCAGATATTAAACAACAACCATCTTAAAAAGTGGTACAGTACATCTGAAAACAGTAAACTACTGGTGGGATTGTTTCTAGGAGGGAAGGGTCCATAGAAACTGCTGTTTAAATTGGCAGGACACCTCTATTTCATAGAAGAAAAAATGTTCCTGTTATAAAACACTTCTCTTGTTAGCAAATGCTGCACACAAAGGGGCAGCTGTACTTCGCTTACCTCGCGTGTGACTCTTCCGTTGTTATCAAAGTCATACAGAGTGAAGGTCCATTCTTGCCTGTTATCTTCCTCTACAGACACATCACATTGCAATTCCTAAGAAACATGCAAAGAGCAGCTGATTACCTAAAGCAAAAGGCCTGTTTGCAGAGGAGACTCTCCACAGAAGGAGGCTGCTTGCTTGCTTCCTTCCTTCCTCCCTCCCTCATGGGAGGAAGCTTTCAGGACATGTCCCAGGGAGGCCTCTGTCCACCACAATGAAGGAGTCTCTTCACAATCACATGATCATCCTAACCTGGACCAGACTTCAGGGGATCTGCAAGATGCTTTCTGCTTCATTGTAGAAAACACAAAAAGGTACAAAAAACCTACTCCCTGAAGCTCTTGAAATATACTAAGATTTCCCACTAAAAAGTGAGAAAGAAAACTCTGCTTAACTCAGGAAGAGAAAGACAACAGAACCAGACTCACAGAGCGAGGCGGTACACCACAGTGCCAGGAGCAGTCATTAACACAAAGTGGACATAGGCACAAATCCCCACCAGTGAAACCTGTTCTTGACACAGACATTTGATACCCAAAGGTTGTCAGTTGGTGCAGTACAGCATCATGCCTCTGAAGCTCCTGAAATGGAGCCTGCCTTGGAACTGGCAGGTAAGAACAACCTGGGAGCAGTGCCTGGTCCTTACTTTAACTGTGCTTCTGTTAGTGAGTGTGAGATCTGTGGAAAGCCTGAAAGAATCAATTTGTTAAAGGGAAAAAAAAAAAAAAATCTCCAAACCAAAACTAAGACTTCAGTCAAGAACAAAGGATGCACTTTGACTGACTCCAGTCACCTGGGTGCAAATCATTTCCTTTCTCTCAAGACCTGTGCAATCAGAATTATCCAGAGCCACAACAAGGCAAAACAGAAAAGTTACAGTGCAATTAAAATGAAAGCCACTGTATGCAAGTAAAATAAACAGCTCCAAATAGCTTCAGCATGATAGAGCTCAAAATACCTGGTTGATCTTCTGACTTGAAACCAATTCCCTACAGCAGTTACCGGTACCCCCTGTCCCCTGCTGAGTTCAAAGGCACTCTTCTCTCCGTTGTAACAAGCCCTGCTGAAAGCTGCCAAGTGCCCCACACTCTACTGTGGAAACACAGTTTCATATTGCATAAACATTCCCCGGCACCTTTAAAAGCCAAATCACATCCACCGCAGATTTAGACCTCTTCTCAACGCTTGCATTTCTGATTCTGTTATACCTCTGAAACATTTACCAACCTCTTAGCTCCTAGCTCCTGGAAAACTTTCATTTGTAGAACAAGGGGAAAAAATATCAATACTCAGCTTCTTGCCATATATTAATACTTCCCTGTCCCACATTCCCTAACATAACATCTTTATGTGAGGATGTGCTCTGCTTAGTTAAGAGCCATGGCAACCTTCCCGGCATTAGTCATGGTGCCTAGTACCAAGCACTAACCTTTATGGCATGCCAAGAACTACGTGGGAACAAACACAGACTTTGCCGGTACACTGGAGTTCCAGCTACTCTGGCACCAACCATGTTGACAGGTGTCCTCCAACGTTCAAATATCAAGGCACTGTTAATTGCAATTTATCATCTCTTTCCTGTCTGCAAATGTCTGCTGCTCAAGGTAGAATACACAATGTGCCTAGAGAAAGAGTTATCGCTGTGCAGAAAAAAAAAGGCAGGAAAAGTCACCTCCCCCCAAAAGGCACATAAGCACCTAGCAACACCTGAACTGCCTATGGGAAAGCTACTTCCTTTTAATCAGCCTTAAAACAGTAAAAAATAAATCATACCAGACTACTAAATCTGCTCTAGAGAAGGAAATGAACACTCGAGCCATGCTGCAAGGTGGCTGCGTGGTCCTTTAAATAACAACTGAGGAACGCAAAGCTCATTACTGTGACAGGCTGACAGCACTGAAAGGCAGATGATTGCCATGTCTGCTGGAGTGAAGAGAGATGAAACTTTGTGCTGTTTCTTGCTGGTACCAGAGTATCTTCCTCCTCATCAAGACAGACAACCCTCTAGCTGGATGACAGAATGTTTCAATACTCACATTTATTAAAGCACTCCCTATAAAACAACACCTGCCAACTACACACAATATCTAGCAGTTTTATGATGTTTGTAAGTCTACAAGGAAAGAGACCATCAGATTCATTGCCCTCCAGGATCCTTTTCCTCCTGCCATGTGATAAAACAGATTTCCCATGTAGCACGTCAGAGTTATTTCACTTTGGAGGCCCAGGCACAGAAGACCAACACTTAAGGAAGCTTTCACAAACATCTTTTACACCAGGCAGACTTAAGTAAGTGCAATAGTCCATGAAAGTCAATCTAAAGATTTGGTAACTTGGTAGCTGGCCTAATAAATTACTAACAAAAGGATAATAGATAAAGGGTTAAACCGAATGTCTCTTCTTACTACACATTTCAGATCCTACAGAGGAATTATTATCATTTGACCCCTCCAAACACAGCAATAAATCTCACTAATCACATCATAAGGAGCAGCAATAGTAATAAGACACTGACTTGTGCTAATTCTGCTTCCTCCTGTACCCATTACAATCGTTGAGAGCTATACACATGCAAGAGAGGACACTATTTGGTCCACAGGTTATTTTTCTACCGTAATTATGTCAGTACAGTGAAACTTTAAAATATAGAGCACCTACTTCAAACTTCAGTTGTTTCTTGGAACCTGTGCGTGTGTCACTTTCTTTTTCTGCTTTCTTTTCATCTCCACTGCAAACTCCATCTGTCTTCTCTGGAGGCAAAGCCACTGCGAAAATACATTAAAAAAAAACGCTTATAAGGAAATGTCAAAGCAGTTTTATATTTGCAAATCTGTCTTTATATTTAGGGTGAAATTGATTTCAGCAAACTTGTATGAGAGGATCATTATACTTGATTTGCTTTTTTGTTGACTACAGATCTGGGATAATTTCAGCAGACAATCTACCAACAACTTTCGGTACACATTCTCTCCTACAGACATCACTAGAGTCACGGGATGTTCAAACACAGTATTATGAGAATATAAATCAGCAGAGCTGTTACTGTAAATAAGTTGAATAATGTGCAAAATACTGAAAGTTTGTGACATATTGCAAAAACACATTGCATTCACCAGTCGTGAATGAAGTAATGAAGTTGAAATGAAGTCCTCATTCTGTTCCAATTCCTCCTCTTCAAATACACACAAACCTTATTACCTTCCATAAAGGTAACACTACCTGCCAAAAAGGTTAAGCTGCATTTTTTCAAGTACGTATAAAAAAGTATATTTCACCTAAATTTCAATTTAAAACACTATGTGCTTGCATAACTCAACAGCACTCATAAAGAGCATCAGTATTAACATCTATTGGACATATATATCACAACATATCATAACATATATCAAATACGTAACAAAAAGGTATACACTTTTATGTGGATTAAAAGACAAATGCCCAGGAACTAAATAGGTGTGCAGAGGCACTGAGCCTTGCACATGATGAAACCCTGTATCTGAAGAAAATTAATTCTATATTCATTAGTGTTATGAAAATATACACAGATGTTTTAAGCCTACCCTCAAACTTTTTAGATATGACTTTTTTATACATCCACATACTTCTGTCAACAAAGTTATGCCCATACTTCATTAGGCATAGCAGTAACCCTGCCTACTCCCCAAAAAACAGAAGATATTGCAAAAACATGGGTCTTAAAGTCAGCATTTTTCCTCTTGCACTGCAGCATTTGCATTTACCCAAAGCCTTTATCCTAATGCTATGTAGGAACCATTTCTTGGGGATGTCTTTGTAAGATCTCATGTTAAGTGCCAGTTCAGTAAAGTCAGATTCCTTACAAAAAAGGAGACATGACACCCTCCACTTCAGGATGACCCATTTCAAACTGGGTTTATTCTGTTTAGTCCAGTCTTCTTGTTTCCTTCTAAAATCAACAAGAAATGTAAAGGTAACATGGGCCTCCATAACAAGGACAGTTATATTGACAGTGGTTCTTCATGACTATTAAATATATCCCTGATTTTCAGTGGCTCGAGTGTACCAGTGATCAATTTCTCACATGAACAGTTCTAACTAAGCTGATAGAAACATTCATATGAAGGGCTTTTGCAACCCCTCACAAGCTCACCCTAGGGAATGTGAAATAAATGAAAGCTAGGCTGGTATGACCCCTTGCTTCACTGGAACAGTGGACAACTAATTGGGAAAAAAAAACAAAACCAAAACCAAACCACCAAAAAAACCAACCCCACCCCTGTTATCATACATACTTTTAAATGCATAATGATACATAATGGCCAAAAGACTTCTACAGTAACCTTTTATCTGATAAGGGGCGGCATCCCAAATGACACTGGCATGACAAACATTAGGCTGAGAGTATTGAGGAGCAGATCTTGCACAAGATGACTATTCCCTGTCCCAAAGCTCTTTGTTGGGTTTTTCTGTCAAAACAAAGTGTCTTACGGAGCATTCTCTGCCTTCCACCACCGCACTCTTGCGCTGTTCTGAAAGCTGCTGGTATGAGGAAAGAGCATCAGAGTTCCCCACTCCACAGCATGCTTCAGAGAGGAATGGCACAGAGCTACCTTCTGGTTTCAGGAATAGCCCTTCCACTGGCACGTTTAACAACCTTTCTGGATGTACAGTTTGTGTGTTCAGATAGGAAGCTTTCACTTTAATGTATAATTTATGTAACAGAAGAAAAAATGTGCTCTGACAAATTAGTCTTCTCAAAAAACAAGAGTTCAACTATTGGGGAAGGAGGGGATACATCTTGCAGTACACTCCTTGAGAGAGTTTAAATACTGTATGCCAGAAATTATCCTCTTTGAGCTTCGCTGACCTTTGATCTGAAGAACTCATCGGCCTTGCTGCTCCAGGGAATTATCCTTTGAAATCAGTTACTCATTTTAGAGCTCAGATGAAATGAGGAAATCTGGTGATCTCATCCTGATGTCAAGTTTCATTCAGCAAAGAAAAATGAAATCTAAATGAGGAAACTTTAAAGGGGAATATAGAGGTATTAAAATAATATTTATGAGTGATCAAATAACGTGTCTGCGCATATATCCTCGTGTGCCTTATCCAAACCCAATGAACACTTAAAAATACATCCTGGAGTAGGACTGCTTTGTCTGAGAAGAGAAGGATAAGTGTTTGGTATCTCGTTTCTATACTTAGTTCTGACTATTGATATGCGCTCAGTTTCACGAAGGATACAAACACATGCTGAACCTACTTATAAATAAAATGAGAATGTCTGCTTGGGACAGTTAAAACTGGCAGCCTGTAAACAGAGATCCACCAGTGAGCCGCATGCCAAGGCTCAGATATATTCACAATGTGAACTTCCTTTCAGCTCTGCCAATGATATTAAACTAGACCAGACAAGATTGCTATCTCAAAGGAGCGTGGAGAATTAATAGACTTGTGTTTCCAAAGTCAAGGCCATCAGAAATAGGTCCACATACAATATATCATCTGTGCAAATATACTCACTTACCTCCCCACTCAGATAACAAGTCCTGACAAAGAGAACTCTCTGTATAGACGAATATACAGAGAAACCTACCCTTGTTGTGGGAATCCACAATTGAAGAAAAAAAAATGTATATTTATTGCTTCTCATGGGAATAACCACATGCTCTCAAAAACAATGTTCCCTAACAGAATGTTTCATGAATTGAAACACTGCATATGTTTTCTTTATGATGTTCTCTTTTCTTGTTCATTATTAATGGTCTTGTATTCACTTCTATAACCTTAAGACACTATAAAAATGCGTCTGGACAATATTTGAAATTGGAAAGACAATAAAGGAAAAATATTAACTTGGAAAAATTGTGAAATACCATTCTTTCATGAAAAACAAACTGACTGGCTTAAGTGTACTAGCAGATGTTTCTCTCTAAGACTGTTAATTACTACCACCCAATTGCTCGTAATAGAGGTGGGGGAGGAAGAGGGGGAGAGAAGGAACACAAGTTTAAAGGTATTAAGACTCATCCCTGAAGAATTAAGTCTTTTTTTTCAGGGGTCTATTCATTCCTAAGAAAAGAAGGGGGTAATAATTCCAACTGCTCCTTAGAAATCACCAAAAAATCCCAGAAATGAGGTAAAACTGATTGCTATGCTGCATGTTCTGGATGAGCATAGAATACTAAGCTTCAGACAGCCAAACCATTCTTCACTAACCTCCATCCCGCATCTGAGAATAAGAAGAAAAAAGCAGAGTCAAAATAGAGCTATAGTGAGATGGAAAAGCGACTGTTTAAACTTTCACCCTCACTCAGGTGGCCTGTCATTTCAGATTTCTCAAAGCCTCATTCAAGGAAAGCACCATGCTCTTTAACAAATGATCTTCCTTCTCAAAGTAAGGACAGTTTCACTCTTGTTTTTCAACTGTACTGAGCATTTTAATCAGATGGATTAAGAGGGTCTTGTGGCCAGAAACAAAAAAGGATGCAGCTCCGATGAAAGTTCAGGTCTAAGTTACAGCTACCAATTCCAAATTTGCACAGCAGTTGGGAGCACTCAGGCTTAAGATGAACTAATTCAGAGCCTCTTCGGGATGACAGCCATTCCAAAAGGTATGTGATGGATCACAGGGCCCTAAGTCAGAAAGCAGAACTATGGGAGAAGCTATGAAATTCCACAGTGATAAATTATGACTGGACATTACTAGTGACTATTATCTTAACGTCAGGGTCATTACTGTGTAATTTCTGAGAGAAAGCAGCGTAAAGGTAAAACTGGAGAACTGACAAAAATGCCACCTATGAAAGTCAGCATCCAGCATACATAAAATGAAACCCTTTGAAGTGAAATATTATTAGTCTTCCCCTCAAGTTGGACAGGCTGGATTCCACAGCAATTCTTTAAAACTACTACCGGAAACAAAGGGACAGAATTATCTATATGTGGGGGGAAAAACAACAAACCTCATACTACAACCTGAGACTTGTGGGGAGCAGGAGAAAAGGAAAATTAAAAAATGCATCGACATATCAAAACAAGGAGATGAAGTCATAAGCACTTCTGTAACAGCTCAAACTAAACTTCAGTAGCAATATTTGACTGGTGGAATTGAGTGTCAAAGAGCTGGTCCAACCAACTCAGTAGTAAAATTCCTATTGACATCAATAGGGTAACGGTTTCACTTCCAATTTACAGATCTAGCAGATGCACCACAACTTAAAGTCAGAGACTATCAGGACCAAAGAAACAGAAAGACAATTAATTGTGTTGTTTTTCCTGAAGTCTCTGATGTCTAAATTATCTGATTCTGTCGACATTTTTTTCATTGCAAATCAGGTTTGACAAACATAACTGACATTCTTCGCTGACTGCACGACAACAACCAGAGCAATAATAACTACGTTAGAAAGTCCAAATTGAGAAGTCGCTTAATTAACAATTACATTCACATTCAGATTTCCCTTTTAAGTTCTCCTGGAGGCCATGGATTAAGAAATATAGCTCCCATTAAGCACACATTTTGCTTTTATTCCACAGAGTTGATTGAAACACATCCCCAACACAGATAACTGCTTGAGCAAAGGTCCTCTTCTCCAGCGGCAAATGAACGCAGGCAGAATAGGACCAGGAAGGGAGTAACATTCCTGTTCCACAGCCACCAGAATAAGCGCATAGAAAAACAGGCTTGTCCTGGGTCAGTGCCAAAAGCGTGTATTCAACTTTCTCTGGCTGAAAGCTGAAGCTGATGAATTAGACACACCCTTCAAAACAACAA